TTTTTTCTGACTGCGGGAATGAAGAAAAAGGCATTTAAGAAGTAGAAAGAGAAGAATAATTATGCCTGTCAGAAGTAGGTAAGTGACAATCCAAGACATGTCAAACAGTGCTTTTAGATTAGAGGCACTGCCGGCATAATCTTGGACAGTCAGGTTGAACAGCCCAAGGCATGAGGATGCGTTGTTGGTAGTGAATCATAGAGAGTTATTTAGGGGCCAGGAGCCATTGAGTGATTCCCAGGAAGTAACTGGGTCCATGGTGGGGAGGCCAAGCATAGAATTAGTTGAGTAGAGGGTCGGGTAGGCTGGGGAATGAAGCGATAAGGGCAAGAGTATAAGTGGGGAGGGGACCAAGGCCCAGAGCTCATGGGCTGTGGCAGGGGCGGGGAAGAGCAAACCAATTATCCAGATAATGGTGAGGTCTCTGGGTCCTAGGGGTCCCGTTCATTGGTTGCTGATCTCACATCTCTTGCTGGAACCCATACTGGCTTTGTTTCTGTCTGAGGAAACACACAAGCATAGTCTCGCCCTCTGTTAACAAGGGGGCAGGCAGTTGCCATTGACATGTTATGGTGTCCTTCCATCTCACTAGTGGCAGGGTTGTAGGCCTAGGTATGGTAGCCCATTGTTTGTAGGCTGGGCTTAACCCATTTTTATTGAAGGACAGGAAATTAATGCTGAATAGAGCTTCAATTAGAGCCAGGTGTGGGTCCCTTTTATACTCAGGGGTAGCAAATATTTGCAATGTTTTCTGAGGGTCCTATTGGCCCACTCTACAATGGCCTGTCCCTGTGGATTATAAGAGATGCCAAGCATTTAGGGGGTCTAAGGGAGCAAGGGGTGCACATGTAACACAAGACCTGCTCAGATGTTTGCACTGAGAGATGGGTAGGTCAGGTAGAATGCGGTGCAGACTGTGAGGAGAAAGGTGAAATTGTTGGTGTAAGGCTCTGGCTTGTTCTAGTAGGGGAATCTCTACAAACATAATAAGTTTATCTACTTTGTTATTTCCCTTTGCCAAGATCCTGGGGATCTTGGTGTGTGATCTTATGTGGGAGATGTGGCAGGGCCATTGTCTGTTATCTAAGATAATCTGGAGAGCTCTCATAGTTGTAGTGATAGGATCCTGGTGGCCTTTTACCAGAGCAAAGGGAAGACATCTGAGGGCCCAAACCACATACTGGCTGTTGGAGAATATATTGAGCAGCTCAATCTGGCAGACTCGGAAGATTTTTAACAAGGCCAGGAGCTCCCCCAACTGGACAGAGCCTGGATTGGCTTGTACATAAAAGGGGTCATCCTTTCCCATGTGCAGAAAGACAATGCCATAACAGGACTTATTTGCATCCGAGAAGGCTAGCGTGGCTAAAGGTAGGGGGGTTTTGCAGGGGGAAGCATGTGGCTGAGTGGTGATTCCCAAACAGGCCAGGCTGGCCAGTTGCTTATCTGGGTGTGTGAGGTTATCCAACTCCCCTGTGAACCTGGACATCATTAGTTGGAAAGCCAGAGTGTCTGCCCATAATGTTTGGAATGCTTAAGAGGAAAGGGTAGTATAATTTTGTCAGGTTTTTTTCCGAATATGTGCCTGGCTGTTGGGCCTTAGTTGCTAACTTGAAGGCAATATCATACTTAGAGCTAAGCCTAGTTAGGTCTGAGGTAGCCAGGTGGATCCACACAAGGGGGTCTTGCTGCCATAGCTCCCCCAAGACACCATTTTTAATCCAGCGGATCAAGGCCAGTAATGGTTCTGTTGGGTCATAACATTGGAGTGATGCAGACCAGAGTATATGATCTATGTTATTAAGAAGATCCTTAGCTGACAGGGTGAGAGGGATCCTTGAAGTTGAATTATGGCCTTCCAGCAGGGAGAACAAGGCCCGGAATTCCAAGTCAGGGACCGGAACAAATTGTTTGAGCCAGTTTATAGTCCCACAGAGTTCTTGGAGCTCAGTCAACTATATACAGTTTTTTGCAAGATAGAAGGGTTAAGCAGTTTAATTACTGTATCTATATGGTAGCCAAGGAATGTGAAAGGTTGGATGTATTGTAACTTCTCATGCAATGTGGAGACCTAAACATTCTAAATCAGCAAGCAGACTGGGTATTGCAGCCTGTAAAGTATTGTGAGATTTGTGTGCTAGCAGTATGTCATCCATATAGTGGATGACAATTAGGTCCTTGGGGATGTTAGTTAAGGCCTTATTAACATATAACTGATAGGCTGTGGGGCTATTTTTCATACCCTGTGGCAGTACCTTCCATTGGTATCAGATCGG